CCCTCCCTGCTCCGTTTCCAGCTCAGCAGTTCCGGGCAGACACTGAAAAATCCCAGCTATTCCAAGCATCTGCAGGAAGCTCCAGCCCCAGACTGCCTGTTCGCAAGACACATTCCTGCCTGGGCCGGGCGGGCGGGAATCCGCTCCAAGTTTTTCCCCACACCCGCCGGCTGAGACTTGGCTTCCTTCCAGGAACTCAACCTGGCTTCACCTTGGCCGGCGTCACCAGCAGGAGGCCTCCTGCCACACAAGGGGCGATTGGCCAGAGGAGCAGCGAAGGGGAACCGAATGCAGAGCCAGGCCAGGGAGCATCACACGCCCAGCAAGCGGCCCCACGGCGCACAGAGCAGCCGGCACAGGCCGGGGAGAGGTGCTAAGGGGAGCTCTGAGACCAAGGAAGCCAGTGGCGGTAGCGGGCTGCACTGCATCACCCCAAAGGCCAGCCCCACCGTGGCTCAACAGCTGGGGGGGGGTCTCCCCTTCCCAGCCCCACTCGGGGCGAGATGTGCAAACCTGCCTACAAGCCGAAACCGCACGCAGCTGGGTGGTTTGTACGCGATGCAGCCCACAAGCCAGGCCCACCGTGAGACAGCTGCAGGCATCTCGCTTTGACTTTAGCGAGCGGGGACACACAGGGAGCCCCGGGGCAGAGCTGGGGCCAGCGCCCCCACTGGCTCCAGGAGGCCTGATCCTGAGCGGAGCCGAGCGCACACAGTGAAGGCAAAGGGGGAAGGCATCGGGAAGCAGCAGGCAATGGCCCTCTCCTCCTCGGGGTACCAGCATTGCACTCAATGAGATGAGCCAGTGCTCGGGGTGGGGGGGCCTTAGCACTCACCGTCGGGGGGAGGTTGCAGTGCACGGGGCTGCCAGTGTTCCAGACAGAGGCTTGTTTAAGGAGGCACCAATGAGCGAAGCAGCCCCTGGGGTCTGACTGCCACCTAGGGTCCGTCCCTGCTGCAAACCTCAGCAGCAAGTCCCGAGCCTGGCTCATCTGGCTGGGGCTGGTGGGGCTCATGGTACTGGACTGAAAACAGCCATGTAGGGGACCCACCCCCGTCACCGGGCACCGCCCGTGCAGGCAGGTCTGTACCCCAGGCCCTGAGAGCTGCTGACCTGGGGCTGGTTGGTTGTGCAGCGTAGACACACCCTGGCAGGGCAGAGGGCGCCCCCTGCTCGGGCGGTGCTGCTGAAGGTGGGGGAGACCCATGCAGGGGAGGCCTAGCTGTGCCCTGGAGCTCCTCCGCATGGCTTGCCCCAGCAAGCTGAGGGGGCTGCAGCTGGAGGCTCTGCCAAGGGAGATAAGGCTTAGCAGCCACCCGTGCCCAAGCAAGTTCCCTGCAGCCTGCACCCCTAGGAGGCAGCACCCGCTGCACCCCAAGCCTGGCTAGGCGGGTTTAAAGCCAACACATACTTCCGGTGCAGCAGCCAGGCATGGTCAGGCGGAGATTGGAGCCTGCCGGTAAATGCAGCTGGTGCTAACAGGAAGGGGGAGCTCAGCCCAGAGTCCACTTCCCCTTTCGGAGAAGAGGAAAGGAACCGCGTCAGCCCTGGGAAGAAACAAGGCTCTCGCTTCCACTCCGGCTCACGCAGGGCTCTGCCTGCAGCCTCCTGGCCCCAGCTTCCCAGGAACGAATCCAGCTCAGCTGGTGCAAGCGGCAGGCAGCACGAGGCTTTTATCTGACTCGGCCACCATGGGGCTCTCTTCCAGGCTGCCCCACCACCAAACCACCCTCGACCTCTGGCCCGTGGCTGCAAATGGAGCAGAACACGAGCCCTTTGCACCCATGGCCTAGTCACCCACCCTGGTGGTGTGGATGTTTGTGTGTGTGTGGGGGGGGGCAGATGTGATAATTGGTGAGTCTTGTCACTGCAGGAGAGCTGCACACCAGAGCTTCATGCAGCCATCCCCACCTCCATGGCAAGAGAAAGGGACCATCGCTGGTTACGCTGGCTGGAGCCGGCGGGGACTAACACAGGCCACGTCCTTTGCACTATAGCAGCATGAGAGCCGTGCCCCAAGATCGGGGTGGGGGGGCCTGCCCTGAGGGGTGTGCAATGGAAAGAGACGAGCCAGGAAGGATCCTCATCCCCATGTGACTGCTGAGGCCCAGGGAGTTTTGCTGGAAGGCCACAGCAAAGGCAGGCGCAGACTGCAGGTCCAGGCCAGAGCCAGGCTGCCCCTCCCAACCTAGCCCTTCCCGGACTTGGATGGCCGGAGCAAGGGGGATTTTCCATATCATGTGCTGGGAATCCTGAAGCTTGAGGAGTGAAACAACATGCCGGGAGGGGGGGGGGGGGGGATTTCCAGAGCTGGCGTATGGCATGTGGCTATACCTGGACGCCAGGAAAGGTGCCAAGACGGCCGGTCCTAGGGAGCACAGAGTGGCAGCGACAGAGAGGGAGAGGAGCAACGGGCAGGGCAGCTTTCGGAGCCCAGACTCACCCCAGAGCTAAGGCCCCCGAGGCTCACCAGAGATCCGTGGGTGGGACCCTTCGTTTGCAGGAGCTTTCCCTACTTGCAGCTCAGCTTTAGCCTTCTGCTGGCTGGGTGCTCCGGCTCGGCCACCCACTGGGACCTTGGTGCAGCCGCGATTCCCAGGGGGCACCTGTCTGGGACCAGGGGGAGGTAGAACTCGACTGCAGCAGCCGGTGATTAGCCAGCGGAGAAGATGGCAGGAAGAACTGCCCTGCGTTCACTGGCTCAGTGGCATCCCTGCTCCAGCTCTGATCCATCTTTACTTAGGAAAGGGTCAGGGGGCGGTGGAAGATGGGACACTTCAAAGCTTTAGCCATCCTTGCCAGCTGAACAAACCGCCACCCTGCTCTGCTGGAGCAAAGCAGCTGGGATTCACCCTGGTGATGCGTCACCCCTGGGACACGGTTTCCGCTGTATCACCTCCCTTAAGTGCTCTGTAACCTGCACACTAGAAATCTGCTCCCTTTGTAATTGCCTCATAAGGGCAATTTCTCCCTTACAGGTTACAACATTGAGAGGTGCAAGTGAACGTAGGAGATCTTCGAGAATTTTTGCTCAGATGCAGTATAATCTAGGGAGAGTCAGGACTCCTGGGTCCTACCGCCGCTTCTGGGAAACCAGCTTTGCCTAGCAGACCAAGTGGGGGCTGGGAATCAGGATTCTTGGGGGTGTGCTCCCAGCTCTGAGAGGGGCAAGGTGTAAACTTAAAGTAAGGGGCCAACAGCCTGGCGGTGTTCTCACCCCCGTTCCAGAGACGCATTGCTAGGGCAAGTCACTTCGCTGTAACTTTCCATTTCCACGGGGGTAAGAAGTGGGTTCAACCTATCACTGCCTCCCAGAAACTGGGCAGGGTTCCTGGGTGGGAAGTGGTTTGAGGCTCCCTGCGTGAAAGGTGCTAAGCACAAGTCAGGCATATTCTGCAAGGAAGTCAATCAGTAACGGGACTCAATGGCTTTGATTTGCGGTTACTGAATATACTCTCCAAATGCTCCAACTCTTGAATAACCCTGACTTCAGAACTGGGCACAAGTTGGATGGGTTGGCTACCATGCTCCAGCTGTTTCTCCCCCAGGGAAATAAACACTTGGTGTGGATTATGTCGTTCGACGATAATCTGACAAGTGACTTTATAAAAGAAGGAAGCCCAGACCAATTAGAAGTATGTGATGATCACTTTAGATAAGCTATTACCAGCAGGACAGTGGGGTGGGAGGAGGTATTGTTTCATATTCTCTGTGTATATATAAAGTCTGCTGCAGTTTCCACGGTATGCATCTGATGAAGTGAGCTGTAGCTCACGAAAGCTCATGCTCAAATAAATTGGTTAGTCTCTAAGGTGCCACAAGTACTCCTTTTCTTTATGTTAAAACCTGCATTTAGCAGCATCCAAACATTTTGCCCTAGTGTAAATGACTGCAGAAGATCTGGCCTAGTGTCAGCCCCTTTTGGGAATGTCTCATCTCAGTAATGCCTGGTTACTGGAGAATCCCAAGTAAGTCTGATTAGCTGCAGTGGCTTTGGAAAACTTACAAGTCATTGCAGGCCGTGCTGGGCCCCTCTGGACAATCCTGGGAGGGCTGCAGAGTAGGAACCAGCATTTATAAGAGAAGGAAATGCCTGACACTATTTGGTTTTTAAGGTATTTGCTGCGGGGAAGGTGCTTAACCAGAAATAAAACCCGGTTATTTTTCTCTAGAGAAACTGATTCAAATCCTGGCTCGCACCACAAACAAGCACTAGCCCGGTAGTTGAAGTCTCTCCTGGGGATACACCCACACCAGAGCATTCGGCACAACGTAGCCTTCCCAGAGAAAACTGGGGGCTGGAATAGCAAGGGATTGAGATGCAGTGTCACACTGGTTCTTGGATCTCTGGACTAGAACAGGAAGAGGTATTGGAAATCAGGGCAAGGGCGCTGTGATCCAAGATTGCACTAGTTGCAGGGGTGGGGGGGAGATGAACTAGATGATGGAGTTCAGGTCACCTTTGCTCTCTCCAGTTTCAGGGATTCTAGGAATAGTGCAGCAGAGGGTTGCTGCAGGGAGCTCAGCACCGGAGTGCAGGGACGCAGCAGGGTCTGAGGAACCTCCCGCTGCACTTTCTAGGCTATTGCCAACCCACATTTCTCCTGCCATTTCAGTTAGAAGATGCGGTTTCACTTCCGCCCAGAGCCACTGCGATTCCACAGCAGGGGAAGAGATTCCTGCATGTAAAAGCACTTTGGGAAGTTGGGGCTAAACCCACCACAATACAAATGCAAAATCGTGCTGGCTAGCCATAGCCAATAATAGCCCTCTCTTCAATTTTGTTCATACTGGGCCAGATCCTCAGCTGGCAAAAACTGGGACTGAAGTCAATGGAGCTGCTCTAATTTTCACCAGTTGCAGATCTAGCCGGCTGTGTTTAGTCGCTGGCCCTCGGGCATTCAAGATAATACTCTGCTCAGTCTTCAGGAACTGCAGCTGGCTAGCAGAAATGGCTTCTCAGTGCAGGTGGCTGTACGAAGGATAAACAGCATGCCAGGTAAAATGAAAAGTGAGCCTCTTTATTGTGTTATCAATTCACTTTTTAACAACAATTCCACAAAATATTAAACACTGTGCAAGAAATTGGTCTATGGCACACCAGAAATAAAAACCAGAGATCCAAAAATGCAGACATTCTGAAGAACCTACATTACAGACACTGATTACTTCCTAAAATACAGTTTTTACAACTCTTGATTTGCATTTGGCAACAATATCAGAGTTTGGCAAAAAAATTAATCAGAAGAAGAAACCAGAGAGAGAAATGAAGAGCGCAAAGTGCCAGACGCGTGGCTTCCCGTTTTGATGACGGAAATGCGTTATTTTTACTCTAGTTAAATAAAGTTGACTTTTTAAGTTCTCGTAAAAGGAAGAGGGACTTTTGTTTCTCAGAACTGGGCAAAGAGTGATGAGTTCCCCATTAGCACTTCCAAAGAGCAACGCGGAACACCCTTAAAGCCCCTCCTCACACAGCTGGAAGGTGAATTGAAGGATATGGACACAGTGCTTGAGGCCCAGAGATCACTGCAGTATCAAAGGGGTTGGCTTTTTAGAAGCACCTAGAGCACAGTGCTCTTGTTGGTCACTGGGGCTGCTGCATGCCAGTGCACCAGAGTGCAAAGGGGGCACGGAAGCAAGCACGGTCTTGTTGCCACGTGCTCAGCTGCCCTGCTCTCCTAATGGATAAGCCTGGCTCAAACAGGTAAGGATGCTGGTCGGAGCTAGGTAAGGAAAGCTGCCTTTATTCTAAGAGGAACAGGACCAAAGATGCCTCCTGGAGAGGCAGAGCACTGGAGTTACGTTTATAACGAGGGGGCTGTTTAAGGGGGTTGGATGGGAAATACTCCCAAATCCTAGGCAACCATATACCTGGTTTCAAGTACAGAGACCATCTATGGGGAAGGCTGTAAGTAACGTGATCTTTCCAGCTAGAGGCATCATGCAGCCTTTGTCCTTGTGTAACCTGTTTGTTGGGGCCCAGATACTTGGCACACAGCAGGGTAGCCTCCTGGCTACTTGCTAGCCCAGCTGGAAGCCCTCCAAGAGCAGGGGGAATGGGCTGGCCTACAGATTACATCCCTCACCTTTCTATTTTGGGCAACAGCTTCACCACATGCTAAAGAAACCTCAGACAAATTTGGACATGTGTTTGCCACCCAAAAAGGTCTTTGTGGAGTAAATGCTGAGCTGGCACTGGCTGTCTGGCCACCGATTCAGCTCATAATAGAGGCACCACTACCTTCCTCCCCCCTTTACATTTTGGAGCACTTAAAAAGTCCTGAAAGTGTCTTTTTTTTTTTTTTTTTTGGCAAATGCACTAACAAAGTACAAGCAGCTACTGTAATTTGCACTTATATTTATGCTATACAAAAACGTCTACAATATGATCACCCATTTACTCAGACAAGGAAAAACTAAAAAAGGTTGAGGATTTTTCCACCTAGAGGCAAGTCACCAGTTGAAGATACATCAGATACCCAAGTGGCAAGGCTCCTTCCAATTCTCCCGCCCCACTCGGAAATAGCTGTTCAGACCCAGCTGCCTTCGCCCCACCCATTCCCCTTATATAGTGCCAAGGACTTCCATTCGCCTCTATCAGCATCCGTGGAGACCAAGGAGAGGCAGGGACTCCAGACAGCACATGGCATGCATTTGTGAAAGGTTCATGAAAACGTGGTCTGGATCAGTGGGGCCTGAACTGCCAGCTGCCCCCAGCTTCCCTCCTCCCCATATTCTTTGCATAGCTCTTGTGGGGAAACCACAAAAACATCAACTGTATGAATCAAAGGAATTGGCTCTTGCTTGGCACATGGGTCCTGTCCCCTCTCCCCTGACCTTCTCAAATTGTGTCCTGCACCAGAAGACCATTCCACCCCCAGCCCCTCTCCACATGTTGGATAATATGGCACAGTCTAAACTCCACTACAGGTTCATAGTGTAAAGGACTACCCTCCCCGGTTATCAAACCAGCTGGCATGTTAGAGGGATTCAGACAGAGAGAGATTAGGTGAAGGTGCCGAACTGGATATGCCAGGCAGAGAAAAAGAAAAGGAAGATCGACACCAATTTGCTGAACTATTAAGTGACCAGCTGGTGGAATTCAACAATAGAATGACCTGTGGGGGAACCAAGTGTCTGGAGTTTATATGATTACTAAAGACTAACCCTGCAGACATGGTACAGGGCGTGAGAGCTTGACCCAGGGACAATTCGAAAGAGCTTTGGGCAGGAGATGGCAGTTGGTGTGGGACACGAAAGGGCTGCTGGAAGTAGAGAGAGGGATGGCATCAACCTCAGAGGGGTAGGTTTTGGGAGACTCCTTAGGCTGTGCGAGCTAATGACACTGGCCTGTCCTTCGCTTGGGTCTGGAGTGGAGTAGAAGTGGATAGCTACTGCAGTAACCTCTGCCACTAGCTTTCTCCTATGCACATGAAGAACCCAGGTCTGCTAGCTGACCTGGAAATTCATGCATCTGCCTAGATTGCCCACCATAGCACCATGCACTGTTCTCTAACGTAAAGGAAGAATCAGCAATGTGGAGTAGAAAAATAAGGCTGGAACCACACTAGGTTAAGAACAGAAGGAATCCTTAATCTACAAGAGAAAGCCCCACGGGGAGAAACCCAGACACCCCTTGGGACAGCGTTAATTTCCCACGACAGGAGTAACTTTCGACAGAGTTTTAAATCACATTGGACAAAAGAGAACAAAGGCATTGCTTGCCAATTTTATGGGAATAGCTCAGCCTACAGGAAACCCCAAAGGCAGCTAGCTGCCCCGGGAGAGGCCCATTGGGTTTCTTGGCTGACAGATCAAGTTTAACACTGTGCACTGGATGGCCTACAGCAAGCCAGCAGTTCACAGTGCAAAGGAGAGGAGCGGGAATGCCGTGCCGGCCCAGAGGCGTTTAATGAGCATGCCCTGGGGAAGGCTCATCGCAGAGGGAAGCAACACTCTCCCCTTTGCCACCCACTTCCTGTGGCGCACAAGCAAAGGCAGGGCAGGAAAGGGAGTTGGCAACTAGTTATGAGGCTGCTGGCTGATTTCAGGATTGGAACCCAGGGTCCTTGGAAAGGCCAGTGGAAGGTCGAAGCTCCCTCAGCTCAGCACAGGGCCCCAGAAAGCCAGGTGAAAGCGGCAGCCCGACGTATGGTATGTGCGGCAGTTTGCAGTAGTGTTTACAAATGTGATTGTTTTAAAAAATGGTTTAAAAAGGCAAATGATCATGTAATAAAAAGCTGCCGGCAAAATATCTGGAACCCATGAGATCAACAGAGCGTGTCCCTCCTGCATAACAGGCACTCTCGTCCTGTCAAAAGCCAGCCCTGTCAATCAGCTGCATGAACAGGTAGAGTGGAGTGGCATTTAAGAGAGGCAGACTCAGATTATTAGGTCCCCTCCCTACCCTCCATCTGCCACCCCAGTAATAAATCTCACGCTGAATGGATCAAGATTGAGTGTTACTCCCCAAGCAGATAGGCACTGTGTGTGCACTGAGTTGGAAAGAATCGAAGCTAGGTTTCTGGCAAAGGGCCGGTGTCAATGACTCAGCTATTATCCCTATACATTTTAGCCTGTATTGTGGCACTAGCTCCCCTTTCCCCCACCCTTCATTTCACTCAAAGTAACTGCTGCTGGATGGCATGCCAGGATCATGAATCTGGACAGAGAGCACAGCCTGGGCTCCAGAACCGCCTTCGAGAGTGTCATGCTGCAACACTTTTCCCTTACAGGAGCGCCAGGAACATAACCGGGGAGCAGTGCCTGCCTAGGCTGGGCTCAAGGCAGATCCCCGGTTGCTCATTTTACTATTAAAAGGTGTGTACAGTCTCCATTATTGATATGCAAGTCTTCCCTCCCGCAAACTGCACCTCAGAAGAGCCCAAATCCTCAGAGTTCCCATGAAAGCTCAAACCCAGGTTCTCCTCTAGCTTTTCTTGTCTACAGCACAGAGATCGACCTGGGGACAGGAAGCATTCTCTGGCTTTGAGGGTGCCAAAAGTGCAAAGCACTGGGCTTCTATTAAAGGCCTAGACATTTCAAACAGACCCAAAACACTGGGGAAATGGCTCAGTGTGGCAGGCTTCCTAGGATTCCATATTGGAGGCTTTTGTCCTTCTCATCCTGAATACAATCTGGACCCTAACGTGGCAAGAATATGTACAAATGGACACCCTGTGTGTCAAGTGAAAACGATTAGTACTTGCACCTTGAATTTGCCAGTATTCAACTCCCATTTTACCTCAGAAATGAGAAATTAGTAACTGTTCCGCTGCCTCAGAAGCTTGCTCATCCCTCAGAAGTGGGCCACTCCCCGGCTTCTCCATGTTCTCCGTAGAAAGCTGGGTATTCTCTTGTAGGAAGAAATCTAGGCCTGACTATTTAGATCAAGTGGACAGTATTGGACAGGTTCTCTCATAAGCTGGTACGCAAATCTGCGGCGGTGCCAGAGGACTGTTCAGAATTCTGCGTTCTTATAAAATGTTCCCAGGATGCACCTCATGGTAATAGATCTAACTACCAGGGAGAGGCAGCAGTACTTCCCTGAGCTCTGATCTTTCTCCCAAGCACCATTTGGGTTGCATTGCAGGGGAGGGGGTGCTCAGAACCTGCATGCTGCAGCAAGGATCCACAAAGTAGATTAAAAGGCCCTGCACTACCTTCAGTCCACCTAGGAGCTGTTATTACTGTCGCTTACATCCTGCAGCAGGTGACACAGGCAAAGGAGAAGCGACTACCTCCCTTCCCCCTTGCCTGCTGCTGTGTGTCAAGTTTGTTCCCAAATGTGCAGTGCCCGTAGTTATGTTGGTAAATGAAAAATTAGTTAATTTTCTTATTTCCAAGGGATGGGAACTGTTGGGAGTTAATACTTCTTCCTGACATCCTTAAACCACCCCCCACTCCCAATGAATAGGTTTGAATGCAACAGATCCGCGTTAATGACTAATGAGAGGGAAGGAGAGCTGGGAGGTTAATGGTGGCCAGTTCTAGTGTTTTGGACCTAGAATCTCGGAAAGGCCAGGATAGAAAAGTGTCAACAGAATACTGCAGAACAGAGCAAATCCCACCACCCATCAGAAAAAGGCAGAATAAACCCAACTCGATGCCCTCAACATCGCAATTCTGCTAGGAAAATAGTGGTAACAACACACAGAACTAAAAATCCAAATTGTGACCGGAGGGTGTAGACACCCACATCTCCTTTGCCTTGGGCCAAGCACGACTTAAGGAGAGTCATTTCAGTTTTCATGGCTGATGGGTTACTCTACGAAGTATACTCCCCACAATGGGATTCATTTGTAACAAATACCGTAAGATCATATGATGCTTCAGAACCACATGCCACATTTCATGGAGAGAGAAAGTTTCATGATTTCGTTACACATTACAATGCAGCTGCCAAACACTTTGCTCTCCCTCCCCCACCACTAATTCTGAATTTAGTAATTTGTAATATCCACTTTTAATGTTTTTTTTTTTTTTTTTTTTTAAACAAACAGCCACCACCACCACCCCTCCCCAAGAAACAGAGCAATCAGACTGAAATTCTTTGAATACATCAACTGGAATAACTAATTGAATCAAAAGCACACCCAAAGCTTTGCCCAAATACTTTAAAAGGTCAAAACTCCATCTTTTTAAGAGGCCATGAATCCCATTGGCAAATGCAGCTAAATTCTTGTTTCTCCCACCACCCTTGAAAACAGAATTAGTATTAATAATGCGCCCGCCCTCCCCGATGGTTTTGTAAATTGGAACCCCACTGAGTATGCAAACCACCCAGAAGCACCCGAGCCCCTTTCTGAACACTTCCAATTTGAGATTTTAAGTTCTATTTGATTCCAACATTTAGTGTTTATCCCTCTGCGCAGTTTTAAGTTTGGGACTTGGTTTAAATCGATACAGAACGGTGCCCTGCCTGAGAGAGAGTGTGCACGCGAGAGCGAAGAAAGCTATAGGATGATACAAGGCTTTTTGTCCTTAAAAGGATTCTCCGAGGCGGGTACTCCAACCAGCAGTGGGTCATTCCTGGCATTTTGCTCACAGTAATTCATTAGTTCAGAAGATGCTTTGGAGACCTAAATGTTCAGAGAGAAAGAACAGGTTTAGTGAAAATGCCTTGGATATCCCCACAAATTCCCCTCATGGCCAGCACTCAACCCACGCAGTCTGCACCAGACCAGCTGCTTTTAAACGTTTTTGAGTTATACAGATGTGCAGCAAGTGTTCTAAGGAGGGGACAGAGACTGGAATTTTAGGGGTGGTGAAGTTACAAGTCCAATGTTTCACAATGGGAACTCTACAAAACTGATCACCAGAAATAAAAAGGGGAAATGAGCGTGGAAAGAAATGCTTAAGACTCAGGTATAAAAATAAACTGAAGTGCAAGGGAAAACTCTCTCGCTCTCTCTTTACTAGAACGAGAGCACTTTTAAAATTATAGTCCCCCACCCCATAAGTAATTTCTGTCATCTTTCAGAACTTTAGGAGAGAATGCATGTCTGGAAGTGGTGATTCTCTGCTGCTAAAAATGGAGGTTTTGAAAACCACAGCACTGAAAGCATTAGAAGCTGTTAACTTAGAGTCCTGCTTATTTTAGTTCAAAGATTTATTCTGAGAACTTGGAACCCAGAGTAACAACCCAACCAAGACACTAGATGGAAGGGGAGGCTAACTTGGATGCACCTTTTAGTAATTAGAAGCCTGGGATACATGGTTAGGTTAGGTTTAAGTCAGGGAGGTTTTGCTAGCTTTGGAGACTGTACTTAACGCTGTATCCTTTGCTACTGATTTAACAGCTGGTTGTACATAAGGGCTAACACACAACATACAGAATCCTCATATCACAGGGAGGTCTCTTCTGGTCCAGATGTGAATTATTCATATTTAATAGTTTTATTCTAGGTTTCTATTTCAGCATCAGATCCTGCCACTGCAAACCCTACCTACAATCACAGACTTAAGAATGAAGAGACCTATTCAATTTAATTCCATTCCACACCCTTGGGTAGCACAGAATGGTCCTTTAATTTGCTTTCTAGTGCTTTGTTCACACCATGTACAATTGACCTAAGCAAAGGGGCTTCCACTATTGCCCTTGAGAAAAGATTTCAGTCAATTACTCCTACCAGTGAGATCTATTAAAGTAAATAATGAGGAGGAGGAGGAGGAGGAAGACAGCCTACACGATACCCTCACTCCAGGATGCAGTCAGGATCCTAGTACAGCCTGCAGAAGGAGAGCTTACATTGGAAGATTCAGCAATTTGGTGCATTTCAGTTTCTGAACCTTCCAGCAACAACGCAGTGTACAAAGAGCCAGAGGAAGGCTGGCCTGGTGCTGGAGGCACTGGGCTGGGATTCGGGAGATCTGGGTTCAGTTCCGGGCTCTGCCACAGACTGGGACTTTGGGCAACTCACTTAATCTGTGCCTCACTTCTCCAGCTATACTTTCTCCCGCCCTCTGTCTTACTATAAGCTCTGAGGGCAGGGACCATCACTGTTTATTTGCACAGCACCAGTACCCAGCTCTGGCTGCAGTCTCGGAGACTAGTGCAATAATACAAAAAGTACTGAAACCCTAGGAGTCATGGCAGGTTTCTAACACCAACTGTCACTAGCCACCCTGACCAAATATGTGGAGGGGACAGTAACTCTCTTCTGCAATCAGTGATAAGGTCAAACCTCCAGCTGAAACCAACTACTCACACATGAAGCCCTAAGGAACAGTAATGACTCCTAATTCCAGAGCAAACGGAGGGGAGAGAGATTATCTTGACAGGAGTCTGACAGTAGGTGGCTTGAAAGTCCTGGCAGTGATCCTAAACCTTTCAGCTGATCTATAAATAGTTTAAGTGAACTGAATAAGGAGGAGGAAGAGAGACAACGGGGATAATACTTAGTCCTGCCACAAGTACAGGGGACTGGACTAGATGACCTCTCGAGGTCCCTTCCAGTTCTATGATGCTGTGTGATATTCTGTACTAGAGGTGTGCAAACTATTGAGGCTGGATGCCTCAGTGAGTTATTCATGAACAGGAGAGATGTGTGCAGTCAATCAGCATTGTGATGCACTGGTGGAGCATAAAACTTGCAGTGTCAGGTCCAGCTGAAGTCATTCATTGCCCAATTCTCTGAGTACCTAATCCTCCATCCTGCCATTCTCCTCTCCCAACTTGTTCAACAAAACGTTGGCAGTGGAGCGTCAGAGGACTGGCATAGGATTTGCATTTATTTTCACAGCTGACGTTTTAGTAGTCACTCCTCTAGGAAGCCCACCTTTTTCTCCCATAATAGAAACAGGAGTTCACCCACATTTATTTGCAATGCAGAGAGACATTTCACTCATTTTAGCTGTGAAACATCCAGAGAAGAAAACGGAGGATGTAGAAGGAAAAAAAAAAAAAAGACATGGGGGAGACATCTGACCCACTATCTCACAGGACCAGCAGATCGATTGCTTGGACAAGGCTTGGCTCGTGGCTTTAAAAACCAAACAAACCAAAGCTGACCTAGACAGCACATCTTCTCCATACATGTTACATAGTGGTATGTTGCAGTCCCGCCGTCGTTGTTCTTTCCCCCAGCAAAGGCTCTACAATAAGCACAAAGATAGGTAACTACACCCACACCCTTCTTGCTCTTCACCACACATGGTTTTGGATCTGAAAGTTAGAGATGCTTCGTAATACTTGGAGACTCAGCAATGTCTGTGCCAGGGAGACCTGTAATTTGTTGAGTCTTCCCCAAACTGGTCTCTCAGATCAGTGCATCACTGTAGTCTGGAAAGTGGTGCCCCTAAAAACAGCTACAAAACCTCAGGCTGGATTTAAAAAAGAAATTCCAAAGCAGTAGCAGCTCCCCCCGCCCATCAAAAGCTCAAGATGATGAATCTATCCCTGCAAGAGTTGCTGAAACTGACAGTCAAAGAAAACATTCTTCAACCAGGAAGCATTTAAATCTTAAACCAGGAGGAATTAATGTATATTTAACCAATATTTTAGTTTTTGGATGGTGATGAAAGACACAGTAAAGGCTTTTTTTGCTCTGCTTGCTGACAGGAAGTGATTTTTCATGAACACTTCTCTGCAGTTACCCAGCCACCCACCCACCTTCCCTCCGCTCCCAGGGAGCTTCACGTCAAGCCACCGACAGCAGAAACATTACAACCTTCCTGCCCCTAAAAACCAGTGTATACAAAGCAAATCATTTTCCAGATTAGAGCAACACTGCTGGCCTTCTGGCCAAGTGCAGTTCTTCCAGGGCACAAAAGACCAGGGTTCTAAGAATGATCTTGTGTGTCTTGTTCTTCGGGGTGGAAAGGTCAGGAAAGTCACAGGAGATGACTGAGTTTGTAGGCAACGAGACAGAATGACTGCCCAGTGGGGCCAGTTAGTACAAGATGCTAATGCACAAACTAGCACCTGTACCCTTCAGCAAAAGCTGCCCACTGGAAATCACATGCTCAGTGGAGATACTGCAGCCTCCTGGAGGGCTGAGAGGAGCATGGATCCCAGAACAGAGTAAAATCCTTAAGGATCCACTCTCCAATTTTCAGGAGGCATGGTGGGCGTGAAAGAGGGCGCAAAGGACATATTCCCTGTGCCCAAAACAAACTCTTCAAGAATGCCAGGATAAAATGCCTCAAATCAGAGCGTAACGTGCGTGTGTGTACAGAGATGTTGCATTTATTTTGTATTCTAAGACACAGCAACGACAGAGAAGCAGCAGTACACCAGAGACCCTTTTGCAGAGATTGTGAACGGTGTTCAGGCAGGGTAGGGAGAAATAAAAGTTGAGATGGTTTGCGGGAAAGCAAAATTCACTTAACAGGTGCTGCAAAACCCAAGTCCACTAGAGAGGTTACAGCAGCATGTGCCTCTGCTACAGGGTACTTTTAGTGCAGAGTTGAGAGAACTGGTTCTGCCCACTGCATGACTGTAAAGGTGACTGAACGTTTTTCCAAACAAGCATGAACAGAGCCGTCTGTAAAGCATACAGCACTTTATCCGGAGGGGCAATATGCAGCCGTTCCGAAACAGTGTCTGTCCACAGGAGTTAAAGGAAGCTTGATAGCAAAAGGCCATGATTCAATAGCAACATGGAGAGGGCCTAATTTATGTTTTCGTAGCCCATTCCGGCACAGGTGAACAAGCACTGTACATAGAGGCCCCCTCTTCCCCTCCTCATAACCCCGGAGAGAAAAGTTACGCGTGCAGGCTGCTCCTGGCCCCCTTCTCACCTTGATCCTCTCAATTCCAGCCTCGATGCGCAGCTGCTCCACCAGTTTCCGGGCCTGTGCTATGTTGTTAGTCGCCGACATTGTCTGCCATCAGTTCTAGCCCCAGCACTTGAGAACGCTGCAACAAAGCAAAACGAGAGAGAGAAAGGTTGGATTTAAGAATCGAAAGGTTCACTCTGCGCTACATCCTCTCGGAAAGCTGGACAGGGAGAGTCCTAAACCAGCAGAATTTCACCTTCTTGTCCACTTCTTGTCTTCTTCACACTGACCCCAATGCAACACATAAGATGTCATTCTTCAGAACTGCAACAAGACACCCATATAATCACTCTGGAAGAGATCCCATGCAATACGTTCTGATTTTTTCCCAAGTTCCTTTTATTCGATACCTTTTATTCAAAACGACAGGTTTCAGAGGAACAGCCGTGTTAGTCTGTATTCGCAAAAAGAACAGGAGGACTCGTGGCACCTTAGAGACTAACCAATTTATTTGAGCATGAGCTTTCGTGAGCTACAGCTCACTTCATCGGATGTATGTATGTATGCATCCGATGAAGTGAGCTGTAGCTCACGAAAGCTCATGCTCAAATAAATTGGTTAGTCTCTAAGGTGCCACAAGTACTCCTTTTCTTTATTCAAAACGTAATTCCTGTGCTCCTATTTATATATTATAAGGGTCTTTTCAGCAAGGGAGAAGCTTACTAACTACAGAGGAAAGTGAGAAGACTATAGAGAAAGTGCTGCCAGATGCACAAATTAAACAGACTGAAAAATTAACAGGAATATTTTTCTGTTATCTTAGGTGAAACATTTTTAGTTAGACGAGTCTCATTGTTTCCTGAGGTTCCCACTCCTCTTGTCTGTCTGTTGTATTTACCAGTTGTCTCATCTCACACTGCCTCAGAGCTTCCAGTCTAAGTAACTGTTTCTCTGCTCGGTGTGTATGGTGCCTTGCACAGTGGGGCCCTGATCCATGATTAGGGCCCCTCGGCACTAGCACAATACAAAACAACATACATTACCACCACCACCACCTCACCCCCTGCAATTTTTAAATGGGTGTCTTTGAAAAGCAGAGTAAGATGCTCAAATGGCTCCATAAGGGAGAAGTCTCCAGTGGGATCTGAATTTAGATGGATAGTCAAGGAGCGGAGGAGACCCAAGGAGGTTCTTCCAGATTGCAGGAACAACAAAGGAAAAGGCTCTCACACCAGAAAGGAGGCCAGTGCTAGACAAGGAGCAGAGAAGTCAGTCAGATGAGCTGATGCAAGGCAATTACAGGGATATTTAGAGCATGTGTCTCAGATGAGGTCTTGCAAAATAAGGACATGAGTGCACGTGAAAGCCAAGTGCACAAGAACAGTGCCAGTGGGGGTGACATGTTTCAGAAAAGGTGGCAGCATGGTTCAGAGTCACAGACAGCAACATGAACAAAATTATTATCTGTTTTCTGAAGTATGACCTGCTCAGCTGCCCTGGATGGAGGGTCCAGCGCAGAAGGGACTGAGACCTGGGTACCATCAATGCTGCAGAAAGTCAAATGCACTGGGGGACTCTTATGACATGGCGAGGCTCCACCACAGCTCACAGTGTTTAGCTGTGCAGTGCAGACACAAGCAAGGTTCCAACCATGCGACCGCCTTGGATTTTAAGAAGGCTGTAGCCTGGCTCAGAACAAACATGGTTCCAAGGGGCTGCACAGCAAAGCAGAGGCAACAATTTAACACTGTCCAGGACTACTACATTCGTCCCGTGAATGAATTTGCAGAGCAGAGGCCAGTAAAATTCAGGGCAATCAAAGCAGAGTAACTGAATACCCCTTCTTAATGGCCAGAAAGTAACAAAAACAATGTTGGGTGCGATCTACTTATCAGCAGGTTTATTCAAATTAAAATAAACCTCTGCTACTGCCTTCCACGTCTGTTGCTGATGAGCAACTTGGCAGTCCCCTGGTGTACGCTCATGGACGCAGCATGCGATATCCAGTAGTGTTACCCTCTGCTACAGTTTCAGCCTGACCCATTTGGCAAATTCTGCTCCCTGATACCAGCCACTGAACGGTCCCACAGGGTGCTGCTACATTTGTATTACAGAAGGGTCATCCGAAAGAGCCTCCTGGGCATCTCCTGACCGTGACTTACCCATGACCTGAAGGAAACTGTAGAGAACTGAGACAAGAGGGAAGGATGGTGTCAACACTGCCTCCTCTCTTGCAACTCCCATGCCGATTGCCAAACCCCCGATAATTGCAATTGAACTTAAAATCAGACCAAACACCAGGCTGGAGATGAACCACACTCCCAGATCTCTAGTCAGCCACGTACGGGAATCCTGGTGTGCTAGCTTTAATCCACAATTTTTCCAACTCAGACAGCTTCAAAGCAGACACTAAAGTGCTCTTTTTAAGAGGGAAAAACAGGCATCTGTCCTGCTTAAAAATATCTCTCTCAGTCTAAATATAGACATTAAAAGGGTGTATTCTAGACCAGAATGGCAAGCTCTGGGCATGTTTTGTTTGGCAGAATTGTGCAATCCTCACTGAACTTTTAGATCCATGACAAATTCTACTCATGAATTTTGTTTTGTAACATCCAACGCTGAAGAAAAACAAATGGTGTTTCAGCCAACATTACTAATTCTATTATTAGACTACTCCCTAACGCAGTAGGGAGGAATTTATTTGGAAGTTTCCTTCCCTATACACTGGAACATGTTATCATTATCAGGGCAAGGTACCAACCCTTAACATACGGTTACTGGAGGATCTGTAGTCAACAACATTTTAAAAGGGCAGGCAAAGCTTTTTTTTTTTTTAAGCTGGTGGAGGCAAGTCAGCTCATGGAGAATTTCTGGTTTCTCAAGAAAAGAAAAAGCCACAGAGAGAAAATCCAGGTGGTTTACAACAGAAAGTAGGTCTTGCCCCAAACTGGTGGCTCCTGCAACTACTCAAATCCAAACTCAGAACTCTGCAGATCAGAGCATAATGGTATCTGGAATTAAAAAGGGATGGGATCCTACAAAAATCTTAATCCGCTGTCTCAGCACACTACCCTCACAAGACCCAAATGTCACAATCTTAAAACCTTTGCTTCCCCGCAGTACAATCTGCCTGCTTGAGATTGCCTCTAAGGGTGCTTGGCACAGCTTTAACTTCTATGACTCAGCACTTTTCTAGACCCAGTCTGACTAGGGAGAGCGCGTGCATAGGACGCTCCAAGATTTGATCTTTTCCCATGATAAAGCAACCACAGATCCACCACCCGCTCACACATACAGAGTTTTGAAAATAGTTGCTTTAAAAAGTAGCATTTCTAGATTGTACCAACATAAGCTGGTAGCTGCAAAAGGCAGCTTACCTTGAACAAAGTTTGCTATTGTCATGTGAAGAGCTACACAAGAACTGCTAGTCTCCCTAACAAATACTGACAAATTCAGAATAGGAATGCCAGTGGCCTGTGATGCAACCTTGTATCATTTATAGGAAGCAAACTTATTTAGCACTGAGCTCTTATACGAAATTAAGCCAGAGTTAGGTATTAATTAGTAGACTGCCAACGTGTCTGTGGCATTAACAGTGCAAAAGGCAGGCTAGTTTTCCCCTGCCCCTTGCTGGTTTTAGTGCAGCCAACAGTGTGTCTGGATCAGTGATGTCTCATTTACATATCTAAAGAAAGTAAGTTGTAGCCTGGTGAAATAGCCTATTAGGCAGTAGGACCATTATTAAAAAGGCAGCTACAGCGGAGTACTTCCTACAGCATATGCAGTGGTATTAGGACCAGGGAAGAGAACTGGCAAGACCTTATTGCAAATAAAGTAGCCAAATAGTCATTGTTAAAATATTAATTGTTCATCCGGATAGGACTTATCACAGAGTTGGAGGGGGGAAATACAAGCAATCAGATGCCTTTTACGTTTGCAACAGCACAAGTCACCTGCTTGTATCTTTACAGCTTTCCGTTTATGGAACACCACTGGTGAATCAGCCAAAGCCTGTTTAATGAAATTATAGCAATACCCTGAGCAGTGCATTGTACTAAGTGCAAGATCATGCACAAATTTGAGCTTATTTACATAACATTCAGCTTAGTTTCCAGATGAGGGACATAAATCTGACACAGCAAAGGACAGATGCACCGCACCGCACAGTTATCTGCCTCTCATGCTAGCTTTACAATTCTTAAGCCAAAAGTCTAAACCTTTTGCAAAGGGTAAGAGTCCTTACTCCTCCCTTGCCCTGGCTTCTTAAGAGGGTCTATCTGCAGGTACACACTGTCCATCGACAGCAACAGTTTGCAACACAGAACTAATGAGTGTATGTCCTTCACTTTTAACCCATAGGTGATGTTTCATTTAGTCACTTTAGGAAGTGCAGAAGAAATCCCTCTAATGGTTAATTTGGGAAAAGCCCACAAATAACTCATTCTTTTGAAGGTAGGCAGATTTCCTTCCACTGCACTATACTATTTTGTGACAAAAAACTCCCCCAACTGATGGGTATAGTAATAGGACATACCAAACAAACATTAGAGAGCAACATACTCCACGTCCTACCAATTTCAAAGCAGACCACCACTAAGAGCCATTGCTGGTATGTTTATTAGTTTTATTGCAACAAAAAGATGAGGTAGGCAAAACAGCCTTGCCCTAGAGTTTCCAATCTAAGTTTTAGATGGGACACCAAGAAGGGAGGAAGGAATACAATCATAAGGATATTCTGCTTAGATAAGTGCATGAAGTACTGGCCCATACCAACATCTGCATGCTTCTGCGATTTAATGGTTTGAGAAAGTGCAGCCTAAAGGTTCCCTTAAAATAAAGTATGGAGAGCAATATAAACCCATCTTTGAAACTATTCAACACCAGAAGGCAGCAGGCTAGGCATGAACTATGTTACTGTAACACTGTTGAGAAACTGATGCTGAAGATCATATTTCCCTAGGAATGTTCTTCTGGTAAGTCCCAAGTAGAGGAACAATTGCTAAAGATGGAGAACACCCTAATGAATATGGTAAACCTTGCTTTGCTTATTCAAGCAATAAAGACACTGAAATAATAACTAGAAAAGGACATGAAAAAAAAAGACCTGAAGAAGAGCTCTGTGTTGCTCGAAAGCTTGTCTCTCTCACCAACAGAAATTGGTTCAATAGAAGACGTTATTTCACCCACCTTGTCACTCTAGTATCCTGGGACCAACACAGCTACAACACTGCAAAAGAAAAATAAAGATCAAGCATCTTGAAGATCAATACAATGCATACAACAAAAGGACCCTGTAGATTTCTGCGCTGTGATGGCACCTTGCAGCGTTCTTATGGCTGGGCTGTGAAACGGTCCACGTTGCCTCCGTACACCCAGGAATGCAAGCTCAGAAACAGACTGGCGTTTGAACCAAGTTAACCCATGTTTAAATGACAAGCCCGGTTTACAGTTATCATGGTAGAAAGATCATTTTTGCAAGTCACTTTACACCACCTTTTTATTTTGCGTCTTTTCCGCTTCACCTGTTTTTTCATAGTCTAACTGCATTCCTGTGAATGAAAGTAAATCCATATGGCTCTCTACGTGCAATGAAACCAGTTGCCTATTGTAATGGGATACAATTGCCATCTCAACCGGGATTGTGCAGCTTCAGTGCTGAAAGGAGGATGCTGAGATATAATCTGCTCTGTTTTGGGGGAGGGGGGGTACAGTATCTTTGTATTGTGAAATGTATATGACAGAACTAAGACATGATTCCAACAGCAATAACCACGAATAGCAACAATTCAGTGCGCAAGAAACATAAGTCAGAGTAGAGACGATGCACTATATGCCACCAGTGATAAAATGTTTACAGATCAAAACTACATTTCTATACAGCTTTTCAGCATAAAGGCTTCCAAAGTGCATAATAAAATAAACGCTTACCATGACTAGAGTACTTTGGAAACAAAAAGTGCTATGAAAATATCAACTAGACCTCACAAGAGGACTGTCGTCCAAGAGTCAAACTGGGGGGGGGGGGGGGAAGTGGGACAATTTCTCTACCTAAAATAATTCCAGAATAGCTGAATGGTTCTGCTAAAATGATCAAGGTAGCACAGTTGATAGATACTGTACATTTGTCATAATGAGGCTTCAGTGTTAACTGAGATTAATTGTCTTGCTTTATCATCTGCAGAGTCAAAATGACAAGTATTGCATGAGGTCACATTTGGAGAGTTTTCTTCACGGTCATAGAGGCTGGGAAGTTTTTTTAAATGAAAGCTTAAATTCTGCACAAACTAGCGGGGCCCAGAGAAGTGCTGGCAAAGCAACTACACCAGATCAGACCAGACCAATGTTGCTCAGGTCTTGGTCAAATAGATGATAGCCCCATGTTTCAGATGGGGAAACTGATGTACAGAAAAGGGACTTGTCCAAGGTCACACACAAAGTGACAGAGCATGGATTAGAAATCTGACGTTCCCTGGTTCCCAGTCCTGAGTACAGTTCACTGCCTTAATATATAGGGATTACAATCTACCCCTGAAATTCTCTGCAATGGAATGTGGCAGTTGCTTGACAGTGCAGATCAATGATTCACAACTGTCTGGACAAGATGACAGTGAAATTTATATACAGCAAGGAAGTCCAGGCCTAATATGCAGTGGGACAGATTGTGAATTAGTGTAATAGATCTTGATGCTCTTTGTACTGACAAGGTGTGCAAGTCAAGCAGCGCTCCTAAGTCAAAATAATGGTCTCTTGAGAAAGCTAGCACTCGTCTAAGGAAGAAAACCTACCCACAAAATGCCAAGGACCAGTCTGATTACTTTAGTAGCTTCAAAGAGTATTCCAGGTACTTATGATTGTTGTATTGTTTAAACAGACTGAGAAGCAGCCCGTCTTGTCAAATGATAGTAGTGAAGGAAATATGTCCAAGCATAAGGGTATGGGAGCTTACAGTTGCACAGTAAAGGAGAGGTTTCAGAGGAACAGCCGGGTTAGTCTGTATTCGCAAAAAGAAAAGGAGGACTTGTGGCACCTTAGAGACTAACCACCTTTGCCTTGTTACAGAGCAGTTCTTATGGTAGTTTGACACGTCATATGAAGCTCAATCCGAAATGGAGGGGCTGCAAACATAAAACACGTTGGTGACATTCACCAAGCAGGAATAGTGAGAACTACCTTTCCCCAGCAGCATTTGCAACCCAAACACTACAGTGCTGAGCTACTGCATGAGAACCAGAAAGTGACTCAGCTAGTTTGACTGTCCAAGCTGAGAACGAACACACACGTGTAAGCCACATGCATAGTGAAAAACAAGTTAGATTTTAAAAGTTGTGATGTTCTTCTGTAGCTTGAATACTAAAATTAGGTAGAAAATGGGCTTCAACTATGATTTTGTCACTTGAATCTGTCCCTTTATCTTTTGTTTTCTGGAGAACAGAGTGGCTACTTCTGGCTAGGAACATGGCATGAAAAGTGAAAGAACACAGTCTCTGTGTTCTACAGTCATTAAAGCCTGATCCTGAAATCATTGAAGTCTGCAGGAACTGTGTATGCACAATGGGAATATCAGGTAGATAAGGGTGCAAGACTGGCCCATAGTTTTTATAGAGGGCATTCAAATAATTGTTCCCCTCCCCCATCACCGCCATACAGACCACCTTTACATACAAAACTAACTCAACCATGTTTGGTTTAGCTTGAGTTTTGGACCTTAGTAAACTGAAGTTTTCACACGTTTACAACAGAGTTGCACTAAACTCATCACCACAGGCTGACAGTGCAGTGACTGAGCTTTGAACCCCCCAGACTGATGCCCCCCGTATCTGTTAATGCACTGCGGTCATGTATTAACAAAGAAGGTGTAGATAGTTATTATATCTAGTAGGACCATGGGTGAAAAATCCTAGTTTCACTTGGGATTATCTACAGATAATCTGACCAAAGAGTTGCTTTGTAATTCTCATCAGATCAGTGCAGAACATTTAGGACCCAACTCTGCAAAGGGTCAAGAGCCCTCAACTCCCATTTTATGAGCGTGGGCTCCAGTTTGTAGAAACCCAGCTAGGTTTCCTTAATACGAGTATGCAAAGGGACTTTTTGAAGCTATGTGCCATCCTAATTTCTGTTAACTTTTGCCAGTTTCTGGGGTTTGACATCACTACTTGGAACAAACACCAACTGGAGCTCTGACATGCATAACAAAGGGAGACAGGCATTGTTCATGCCTTTGAGTGTTAATTGTGTAATTCTTCAAAGCCCAGATTCTTTTTGTTTTAAAAATACACATTTCTACCATCAGAGTCTCCTCCCCATCCCTCAAAAGAGTAACCACTGAATATTTCTACTATATAAAACTACTTCAGATGCTACCTCTGGCCTTCGTGCACAACATGCATCGAACGTTTCCAAGTGCACTTAATACCTGTACTGTATCTGAATAAAATGTTCAGATCAGCCTCACCTGAAAGCTCAATATGTTCTGGTTCACTCAAGAAGGTTCATTTGAAGTACACTTGAGAAGTAAAGGCCCCTCTACATTTTACTTTCACAGCCAGATGAAAGGGAAAGTTAAATTTCACTAAAAAAGAAAAGGAGTACTTGTGGCACCTTAGAGACTAACCAATTTATTTGAGATGTAGCTCACGAAAGCTTATGCTCAAATAAATTGGTTAGTCTCTAAGGTGCCACAAGTACTCCTTTTCTTTTTGCGAATACAGACTAACACGGCTGTTCCTCTTAAATTTCACTGACCATTATCAGTTATCCTGCATTTAGCTTCCTTCTAAATTAACTTCATTTTCATTTCTAACCTAGCAATTGGAGTCATGGGGACGGGATGATGAAACTTCATCTCAAAGACCCAGCCGGTATTCTAAGCCTGGACGGCATTTCAGTGCAGGTGCACCAAGCCATTGTTAAGATATGGAGTTATGAAACTGAATACCTTGCTTCTCTCATCAAGGGAACTACATGCCTTGTTATAATCTAGGATGCTTTACATGAAAAGGCTGACAAATGCAAAAATTCAACACAGCCTATGGAAGAACTGGAACTCTGGGAGCTATGCTGTAGATCAAGATATTTAGGGGTTGTGTACACTAGACCGATTTTTCTGATTTCCTATCATTGCTACCACTGGACGTGGCACTGATGAGAGCATAGACAAGGTGCTGGCAGTCAGCGTGTTGTCTAGACCTGCTCTGGGGAGGGTTAGAGGACAGTTGTTAGAAGGCTGGCAGCCCCAGTTGACAGTAGCACTCCCACCAGCCAACGTTACCAAATAGCGTAGCTGCTAGGGGCGGGGAGCTTGTATGGACTCTCCTCTACGATTAGAAAGAACTTGGTGGGACCACAGGCAAGTCACTTAACCTGCCCAGGCCTGTTTCTTCATCTATAAAGTGGAAATGGAAATACCTGCCCATCTCATAGGGATATTGAGGGTTAGTTAAATTTTTTTAATGCACTAGGATGATAAAGTCATATTAACCCACCTCCGTAAAGTCCTCAGCGCTATGGAGAAAAGGTGCTGTAGAGAAGGCCAATGATTTCTTACTGCTGATTCATTCTAAGTGTAGGGAAGAAATAACTGCTTAGACATTCGTCATTTGCTTCCAGACTCTATGGTCAGTCAGCCAGCAGCTGCTCACCTGGGCTCCTCTGCAGGAACAACTACAGCTGCTGGAGAAGCAGCAGCAGCACTGGAAGTTAAACGAAAAGCAGCTTTGGAGGGAAAACAGGCGGCCTAAGAAACAAGCACTGCAGCTGGGTGCATTTCCTCAGCTGCACTGCATGGCTTCCAAGCCCAATTTCTAGTACAGCATTGTAAACAATTCAATGAGAAAGCTAGTATTTATTTCCACATCAGGTAGACTTACGGTGGAGATTTAGCCAAATACAAAATCCCTCAGCTACTGGAGCATAAAGCAGTTGTGCAACTCAGATTATTACAATGCATATGTGCTGCTCTTCCATTGACCCAACATGCACCCCATTCAACACACACATTGCACCCACCGATAGCAGTCCCCTCTTGTTAAGCAAGCTAAAAAGGCTGCTATAACTACAGATCTGGTCATGCATACTTCCAGTCTGAGCTGCATGGTAGCAGTGTGTTCCCAGGCTTTAAGAACATCTCAATTAGTTTCTTTGAAAAGGTGGAGGATAGTTAAATTGCCTCTCAAATTGAGATTGCTGGAATGTTTCAGGTAGCCAAACTATAATACCGGTCACATTCCAGGACTGCTTTGCCAGATAAGTATTGAAAAAAAGATTTCCGTTACCCTGGTAAATAATTGACTAAACGCGTCATTAGCAACTGGAAACCATGAACACAAAAGATCCAGCAGCTTGCTGCATAGCACATGAAAGGCTTGGATTACTGTTTCAGGACCTTTAAGAAGCCCAAATAAACTTTTAAAGATGTCATCCGTAGATTTATAATGGATATGTAAACTCCCAGCGTGAAATCCTTTGGAAGAAGACCTTATGGAAGTATGTTTGAGCAAAGCACTTTTGATCCTAAGATAATTCATATCGGAATGAGGTTTAGGCCACATCTGATCCTCCCTCTTTTTCCCCAGGGAGAACATTTTTAAAGTGTTGTGTACTTGGGAATACAATTTTAAAGAGAATAAAGGGAACACAAAACAGTCAGGACACCTGGGCTGTTCTCAGATCTCTGCCACTGATTTGTGGTATGACCTTGGGCAAATAATTCTCCCACCCAACGTTCCTCACCTGTAAGTCAGGGATGATACATTACAAGAATATAGATAGAGGCACGAAAGAATATTTAGACTTCTGTCTAGGAAGACCTTTCCTTTTTGTGTCATCTCTATTCATGACTCTGCAAAGGCAGAACAGAACTGAAGACTGTTCACATTCCATAGACTGTTCTGCTTTTGCTGAGAAACAAGGTAGAGGAGGGAATATCTTTTATTGGACCAACTTCTGTATCAGGTTTTCTGATTTCCCATGTATGGGAGCATGTGGTGATTTCTTATTTGAAGGGGTACCTTCTGAAGTATGTAAGGTGCAGGAGATGGTTCCTCAGTTTTTCTGAAGTCCTCCTGCAGAGCTGTTCAGCATATTTGAAGTTGTATCGAGTGGTCAGAGGGATAAAGACGGTAAGTCCTCTGGGGATGATGTTTTGTTTCTTGCATCAGGAAGCAGATGTTTCTGTTTACTCTGACTTCCTTCTTCATGTTGTGAAGTTTCCATTTTAAACAGCAAAATTCAGTATCTTTCATGTTGTTTGCAGCACTGTAGCTATGTCGGTCCCAGGATATGACACACACAAGGTAGGTGAGGTAATATATCTTATTACTACTCAAAAGGCAGCCATTGAGAGAGATGGCAATCAATACAATTAATAACGTGTATGTAAATACAATGTAAGTATTGCACCAATAGAAGATATGACCTCACCTACCTTGTTTTTGATAACCTGGGACCAACAAGGCTACAACACGGCAAACTGCTTTCCATTCATGACTCAGCAAAGCGATGCAATTGGAAAGAAATCTCTTGCCTCATTCCACCTTTGCCTAGGCAGGTTTTAACTCTTTGGAGTCCTGGGTCAGAGAAGGGAGAGATGGAGTCGGAAGACAGTGCTTCTGCAGGGAAAACAGCCTGAGTTTCAGAAACGTTGCATTAGTACATGCAAAGTTAAAACACTCCTATATGTATATTCACGTGGTCATGTGAGCAATTACAGCACGATTAGAGTCATAAGCTTCAGAAAGTTAGGCAGCCTTGAAGTTCTTTGCCTATCTCCATCAGCACAGCACTCTGAAGACGTGAGAAAGGGAACAAACTACAGGTCATGATCACCCGGTCATTGAAAACTCCATGTTGAAGAGGTGATGTAAGCATAGGACACATGCTACAGCAACAAGGTAATAACACTTCCCACATAGCAGCAGCAGGACAGACCTGTGGAAAGAACAGCATTGCTGCACACTCCTGAATGCAAGCAAAATACTACGAAGGCAGCTGCTGGGAGAGAAGGCGTTCAACGAAATTAAGAATGTGTACGCAAATACAACACAGGTATTGTACTAACTGGCAATGTTTGGAATCTCTTTAAGGAAACAAGTGTTGAAAGCAGTGAGGAAGGACTGTACAGTCTTGCAGCAACCAGGCAGTAAATTGAGAATGGGGGTGAGGAACAGAGCAGGCAAGCAGAAAGAATTTTGATATGGGGAGGGTTGCATGAATTCCAGGCAAAAGATAACAGCAAAACTGATCATGAAAAACAAAGAGCAAGTCCCAACAGCAAAGCTAGATTGAGTTGTGGGAAGGCCAGAATCCACTGTTTTCAATTAACAAAATATGCAGATCAGTTAACTGAAACCCATCTCTCACACAGGATATAAAACAATCTCATTGGTGTATAGAGGCATGTGATAGTCTGACACCACTGCCCCACAAACCAGTTCTTTTGATCTAATGACTGGCTAGCAGTTAGCTGGAGAAATCCTTGCAGAAACGTTCCCATGTAATTGTGACAGAAAATCAAGTTCCATCAATAAATCAAACAAAGTAAAGGCTCAAAATAAGGCTGATCTAAAAGCAGGTTTCTCTATTTAAAATACATAAATTCCCTTTAAAGGGTTCAAAAACCTAACAGTTTCTTCAGAGTTTAAGTTCTGATCAAATGCTTAGCACAATGTTTATTACCGCTTACACACCAACATACATGTTGATTTGTGATCCATAAGTTGCAATGCAACAAACATCTGAAAAATGATATTTAGTCATGAAAAAACAAGAGTCCCCAAAGCCTGGGATCATTTCAAATTTGTTTGGTTTGTTATTCCCATGAACTATAGAGAATCCTCTGAGTTTCTCACTACAGTTTCCCTATTCCCAAAGCAATTTTTCATGCCCAAGGTAGTTTACAATTCTAATGATTTCAGAGTTTATAGCAGAATGATTGCTTTGCTGAGTCACAAACAATGCAGGGATACCAGTGATTATTGAATTCAGCTGTGAGAAATTGTGACTCAGTACATTAGAGTACTGGAGTGGAAAACAAGATTAAAAAAAAAACACCCTCGGACTCCATCTTAATTTGGCTTTTAAGGATTATTTGCCCACTTTCATACCCCCGACTCCTTTCCATCAAAACACCCTGCCTGTCTGAATATAGTCTTCAAAATTAGCTCAGGAGCAAGAGACCCGAGTTCAGTTCTCTGTTCAGTACTGTAACATCACTGTGGTGGCAAATGTGTTAAGTGGCAAATTTTTCTGCATATCTTGAGTCTAGTTTTTCCATTCTTCCCCCAACATCAAGAGCATTCAAAGTGATGCATGATCCTCCTGCCAATCCTCCTGGCGTTCTCTTGATGTAGTGCAGTGTTTAATATACAGCATCCAAATTAAGAGGATGAAGCTGCAACACTCAGAAGCATACACAGAAAAACTACAGAGAAACCTGACTTGTCCTGACATGTTTTTGTCTGCAAGGTATGAGGTGACATTCAAAGCAGTTTAATCATTTACCTTGTATAAAATGGAATGCTCAACAACAAATCCCTTTCTCTTCTATGCAATCAGTGCCACCTCCACCCTCCCACCCACAGGGTGCTCTCAAGCTTAAGGACAGGAAGTATTACAGTAGGAAATAAATATGCATTGATCCCTCTGGTTTCAGAATTCTTCCCATACTTCTCATAGCTGGGAAGTAGCCACTCCTAGCTGGCTACATAAACAAGTTAACATCTGAGTTAACTGCTGAAGCTATGTTGGGGTTTTGTTTTTTTTAAATATTAAATAAAAATAACTTAATTCTGATAGATGTTTCTGGATGTCACGGAGTTCAACATGCTACATGAAAAGCATCTCAAGAATGCACTTTGTGATGCTGAGGAAGCTTTGCTTTGGTTTCACATCCCAAATCTCTGAAACTGACTGAACTGTCTCCCACACATCCTACCATCAAGAGCTGATGGAACTGGCCAGGGCATAAGCTCAGCATTTGCACCCTGGGGAGTCTATTTATGAAGTAGATGTCTAGAGAAAGAGGTTTGAGAGAGAAGAACATATCGCTCCTTCAGGATCTCCTTTGGCTACTGCCTCTAATTTACTGCAATTTGTAAGCCAGGGGCTGCATGTAAGTATTACAGCAGAGTGTAATTCCACCTCAGGACAGGAAAACTCTTTAGTACGAAGAAAAGGAGGACTTGTGGCACCTTAGAGACTAACCAATTTATTTGAGCATAAGCGTTCGTGAGCTACAGCTCACTTCATCGGATGCATTATGCTCAAATAAATTGGTTAGTCTCTAAGGTGCCACAAGTCCTCCTTTTCTTTTTGCGAATACAGACTAACACGGCTGCTACTCTGAAACCTGTTTAGTACAGGTAAGACACTATTAGCAAGTTGTGGAGCTGTGTAGAAGTGTGCACACTCACACACTCAGACATAAAAGCCAGTCCCCCATGTGAACATCTTTCTGCATCAATGACCTAGCACTGCTTTCATCATCAGCACTACACTATAAAAGCAATCTTGTCTGGCAGTCTGAAGTAGGTTCTATATACTTCATTTGTGCCCAGCAGGGGACAACCATCAGGGAATTACAGAAAAAGGGTACCTGCAAATTCAGCCTTGTTCCCTCCCTTTCCCCTCTTACATTCTAATTGCAGATACAAAGGGCACAAGCTAAAAAGGCATCAAGACTATAGGGAAGCATATAGCTTAGTAGTTTAAAAGCTAGGATGGGGAAGCCTGACTCAGTGGCTAGTTAGGATTAACACCCTGAAAAGACTAATTCTCATTTTAAAACATCTTAATTTTGCAGTGTTCAATAGAGGGGACAGGCCAGTTTTATAGCTCAGAACAAGTCTGAGATGAGGCACCATCAAATAATGCTACAGTATGTACATAAACCCACCCACTTTTACCTTCTTAACACATTCTTAGGGCCAAGCTTTTCAATAGCAGAGCCCCCACAACCAGGGCCAGATTTTCAAGAGCTCAGCTTCCATTTAGATACAAATATAAGTGGATAGATTAGTTGAGCTCTTGAAAATTTGACCCTTATTAAGGGCCAAACAGGAGTTTAACTCTGGAAAATCTGCCCCATAGTTGAGGATATGGGGCACTTGAAAGTCTGGCCCTGATTGCTGCTTGCTGGGACTACTCTGGGGAATTTGAAAATCCTCTCACATCTAGGAATGGCTTCCTCAGAACATTGTTTAGAGCACATTACTCCTACCTACAATTCAAGCTAGGAGAAGGGTAGCACAGAGTGAACACAACGCTCCTTCCAGACAAAAACAAAACAATCCACAGATCTGTGGTTCAGGAAGAGCATACCGAATCACTGGATTCTGAAGTTCCTGTCGTTCAGTGTAGATACTAGAACAAGGAGTACTTGTGGCACCTTGGAGACTAACAGTGTAGATACTGTGTCCTGCATCGCTTGAAAGATAGCCAAAGCAGTAGGTTATCCACCAATCCTTCCCTATACACCACCACCACTCAGAATGACAGCATAGCTACCTGCCTCAAATATTTACAAGACAATGGACAGCCCTCAGATATCTACCCCAAACACACTGCCAAACTCATCCATTTCATCCTTGCCCATAACCATTTCAAATTCAACAACAAAACACTTTGTCCAAACCATGGGAACAGCCACCGGTACTAGGATGGTTCCCCAATATACCAGCCTCTTCCTGGGCCACCTTGAATAGGAATTTCTCGCCAAATGCACCACAAAACCAATTATATACCTGAGATACATCCTCTTCATAGGTGTTAAACTCTCATAGATTTTCACCACAACTTCAACTACCACCACCTGTCCAGTAAACTCTCCCTGGAACACACACACACCAGCATCCACTTCCTGGACATCATGATCAGCTTCAGCAATGGAACGCTACAGACAACTATATACACAAGAAACCCACTGATCACCACACCTACCTTCATAGATCCAGTAACTGCCACAAACACACCAAGAAATCTGTTATCTACAGCCACACACGATATCACAGAATATGCTCCGAGGAGAAGGTCTTGGATATACACCTTAACACACTCAAAACCGCCTTCACCCCTAGTTGTCATTTACCACCCTACACTGGAACCCATACAGGGTATCAAACAATTACAATCCATACTCGATGGGGACCCCATCCTGAACAAAATCTTTCCTGAATCCCCTCTTCTGGGTTTCAAATAACCCCCCAACCTCATCATCAGAAACAAGCTCCCCACAGACCAGGACACACCAACTCATAGCAGCACCAGACCCCGCCAGAACAGATGCAAAACCTGCGGACATATCTCCACTGCTACAATGATCAGCATTCCTTTCAAGATCCATGGGTCCTACACATCCCTGTCAACATGTGGCATACCTCATACAGTGCACTAACTGCCCCAACAACTATGTGGGTGAAACCAGACAATCACAACGCTCTCTAGAATAATCCTAACACAGGAAGATGATAAAAGACAAACACCGTATCACCTGTGGGTGAGCACTTTTCACAAAGCTATCACTCTGTATCTGACCTACCCATCCTCAAAAAAAACCTGCGCAACACTTTCAAAAGGAAAGGAGTACTTGTGGCACCTTAGAAACGAACCAATT